TATATATATAATTTTTTTTTAAATTTCTTTTTTATTTATTTAATTATTTTTTCATTTTTTTATATTTACTTCTTTCACGTGGTTAATTGTAAACGTGTAATATTCGTTTATAATACAAACGGAAGAATAGAACGGATTCAAGCGGAAGTGTGTCCGTGCTCGTGGAAAATCGTAGTTTCGTGAAGAAGGGTGGAGAGGGGGGCGGGTTGGTTGAGGGGAGAAGAGTGAAGAGAATTGTCGGAAGGAAGAAGACCAGTGTGTTACACCGACTCTTCTTGTTGTTGTTTTTTTTTTTTTTTTTTTTTATATATACGTGCAACGTATGTATGTATGTATCTTTTTATATGTACTTATATAGATATATATATATGTAGGATAACAAAAGTTGATATTAACAGGATGTTTATTGAGTAATTACGTAGTAGCTTCAGCAATTAGTAACAACTCGGTTGTTGTTAATGTCGTCGACGTTCGTCGTTATCGTCCCCACACGCTTATTCTCATTCGTTCTTTGACAAAAATGTAGATAAATGAAACTTTTAGAAACGTCTAACAGGTTTTATATTTGTTTTTATCATTTTTTTTTTTTTTCATGCGAACGTATAAGCTCAATTACGTAAATTATCATGTGAGAAAAAATATTATTGAATTTTTTGTATTAACCAAGGAGGTGATAATTAATTTTGTGTCAGTGTTTGTAGTTTGTAAATCTTTCTTTTTTTTTTTTTCTTAATATTTTATAGATAATAATTAAAAAAAAGGATTTGAATTGTTTGATAAATAATATTAGAACTTTTGATGTATTATAATTAAAATTAATGTAATATTTGATAGTATATTATCATTATATTTATTTTTTTTATATATTTATATTATATATTTTATATTTAATATTATATATATTATTATATATTATATTATAAAATATAATATTTTAAAATTATATAAATTAATAATTATTTCATTTTTAAATAATAGTAATTATTAATAAATAGTTTCTATATTATTATTGAAATACCAAAAATTGGGGAAGAGTTGAAAAAATATATAAATATATATATAGTTATAATAAGATGTAAGTGTAAGTACAAGAGAAGTACACCTGTACATTTTGAAGACTACTTGAGGATTGAAAAAAAAAAACTAAGATAAAAAAAAAACTATATCTCAATCTATCTTTATCTAACCTATCTTCTTTGTTTTTTTTTTTTTTAGTATCTCTTCTCCCACTCTTTCTATCTCTTACTCCCCCTTTTTTTACGGATAAAAAGATAGAAAGGATATTCGTGTTGGTGAGTTTTCTGGAGTTATTCCAAAGTCGGTGGAAAAGTTTCGTCTAACGTCTTGGAAATGTCTCAAAAAGAAGAAACGTACGAGAAGAAGAAGAAGAATAAGAATAAGAAGAAGAAAAAGAAGGAGTTGAAGAAGAAGTAAGAGGAGGAGGAGGAGAAAAAGTAAAAATAAAAGTAGAGAAACTCGTGCAGAGGGACCCACCACCACCCGTCGTGTGCTCTAAGTGTATCACATAGTAAATTTAGTTTTCCAACCTCCGTTTCTAGCCTTCCACCATACGATCCACCTTCCAAACACACACATACACACATATATATATATATATATAAACTGAGTTCTTCTTTCTCTTTCCATTTCTCTATCCTTTCACCTTGAAGGGCACAACCCGACCTGGAGAGATTACCCGCGCAAGAACGCTCATGTTGTAAGAAAAAAAAAAAAAGAGAAGAAGGTGATGGTGGAGGAGGAAAAAGAAGAGGAGGCCAGGGTTTGCCGACGTTTCCTAAGGGGATCGTCGGCCATCTTTGGAATATGGCGGACACGGATCCGTTCGAGCGAATCTGGCCGATCAAACGGGAGCTAAGAGCTGCGCTTTCGTCCGAGTTAACTCAATCTTCAAGCTTTCGACTATTTTCTTTCTTACTCTCTCATCCGTTCTCCTGTTTCAGGAGGTCATTCTACCCCCCCCCCAATCTCCCTCCCTCCCTTCCTCCCCCCTTTTCCCTTTACCAGTCTATAAAGTCTATCTTTATTTCTTTCTAACCTCAAACCATAGACTTTTTCTTATTTTTCTCTGTCTCTGTCTGATCCAGCATTGGCATCTTCTTATTCAGCACTCCCTATCGACCACCCACGACCGTTCCAATTGATGAACTCGCGACAACAGGCCTTTAGATACTTTTACAAGCCCAAAGAACATCCCTTGAGAGAGAAGAGGGTTGTTCGTTCTCTCACTCATCCTACCGATATCATCCATGCCAGTTGCTTTCAAGTTTACCCAAGGCTTTTCTAAAAAGAGTAACATACGATATCTCAAATATCGAGATGAGTGCTCTCAAATGAGCCATGAAAGAAAGAAGACCCTTTATTTTGTTTTAAACTACTAACCTTTTTAACGTCAATCATCATCATCATCATCATCTTCATTCGATTTCAAATTGAATTACTTCATTTTGTTTTTGGGACTCTGTTAATACATATGTTTTATAGTTTATTATTTTTTAAATATTCTACATTATTATTTATGCATAACATCGAAGTTGAAATAATTGGAGGAACGTAGGAGAGTTGAGGAAAAAAAAATTGCAAGAGAAAATTAAACTTTGTTATTTAACCCAATTCAATATTTAACTAACACCCTATAGATAAAGTTTTCGTTGCAAAATCATATCTACTATTATTATAAAAAAAAAAAAAAAAATATATACAATTTTAATATAAATAGTTGCATAATTTTGTGAGAGACACCCTGAGAGTGCGTTCGAGATGCGTTAATAAAAAAAAGAAAAAAACATTAGAAAATTGCTCCCCATTTTCGTGAACGATAACGCGAGTATATTTGGAGGTTAGGTTAAGAAGTTGGAGTGGGGGGAAATAAAATGGGCGGGAGCGCTTCTGCGCAAGTAAAATTTTATTCTGCGTCGATCCTATGAACGAAGAGACACACAGACAGACACACAGAGACAGACACATTCTGCATGGTTTTCTCATCTCTCTCTCTTTCTGTGGTGGGTGCTCGCGCACCTATTCTCGAGTTAGTTGTCGTGAGAAAGAGAGAGACAGAAAGTCGACGACGTGTATCGGGTGTAATCGGTCTCCTCGGGGAATCCCACCCCCTCTCGTAGTTACCGGCAAAACCGGGGAGATAATTTGTGGCGTCTCGACGCGTCTGCGTGGTCCAATCCTCGCTATCAGCCAATCGCGTGAGTGCACAGGACTGGCTCGTATACTCCCGTAGCTTCACAAGAACAAAAAGATCTACCGATAGAGAGAAAGAGAGAGAAATAGCTGGCCCTGTGATCGCGCCATGCATAAAAACAAAAATAAAAAAAAAAACTAGCGTTCCCCATATCTCTGATTCTTCTATGTTTTTTTTTGTTTTTGTTTATTTTTATCACTCTCTTTCTGTCTCTCTATCTTTCTCTCACTTACTGTCTTCATTTTTGTATTTTTTCTTTCTTTTTCTCGATATAGGATGTTGCGTTCGTTCATTGGTCGTATCGAGACGAATTCATCGATTCCTATTGGACAACAGTGGTTCTCAATAGTTCAATTTAACCGATCGTAACTTTTAATCGTTTTTTACTTTCGTTTTTTTCTTTTTATATTTATATTGTTGACACTTATTTTTTATAAGAATTTTTGTTACTTCAACAAATGATTTATCATTTAAGTAATTTAATTTTAAATTGTTTGGTTGTTTATTTCATGAAAAATTGTAATTGTTAATGAGGTTATGTTTTCACGTAATCGTTTGATGTGTGTTTAATTTGTTTTAAAATATATTTAAGGTATAAAAATAAGTTGAAAGGTTAGGATAACATCTAAGGTAGATAAGGGCTTATTTTAATAAAAATTGATATTATTATTGTTTAAATAAAATAAGGTACATTAAATTGTCCAATTATTTATTTCATGAAAGATCGTAATTGTTAATGAGATTATGTTTTCACGTAATCGTTTGATGTGTGTTTAATATGTTTTAAAATATATTTAGGTATAGGAATAAATTTAATAGTTAGGATAACATCTAAGGTAGATAAGGGCTTATTTTAATAAAAATTGATATTATTATTACTTAAATGAAATAAGGTACATTAAATTGTCCAATTGTTTGGTGTGTTTTTAATATGTTTTGAAATATATTTAGGGTGTAAGAATAAATTTAAAGGTTAGGATAACTTCTAAAATAAATAAGGGTTTACTGTAATAATAATAATTATTATTATATATTACTACTATTATTATTGAAAGAAAATAACTTATATTAAATTGTCCAATTATTTAATTCGTGAAAGATCGTAATTATGAATGAGGTTATGTTATCACATGATCGTTTTTGGTGTATGTTTAATATGTTTTGAAATATATTTAGGGTGTAAGAATAAATTTAAAGGTTAGGATAACTTGTAAGGTATAGATAAGGGTTAACTTATTATTATTATTGCTATTATGATTGAAAGAAAATCAATTTGATAAGAGATACCTTCGATTTATCTTCTCGTAGGTGGTAAAGAAGATGATCCTAAAGGTTGTTCGTCCAGTGCCTTGAGTTCGTCTCAAAGCAAGAAGCAACGGAAAGCTCGTACGGCTTTTACCGATCATCAGTTGCAGACATTGGAGAAGAGTTTCGAACGACAAAAATATCTCAGCGTACAGGATAGAATGGAACTCGCGTCTAAATTACAACTAACCGATACGCAAGTGAAAACGTGGTATCAAAATAGAAGGTAAGATTTATATTCAAACTGATAAATAATAATAACAATAATAATAATAATAATGTTTAGTATTCTTCATTATATTTGGTAAATGGCAAACAAATCAATTTCAAATGATCGTAGCAACAAGAATCGGTAATTGTTTGTTAAAAGTTGGATATTGTTTTATTTTTATTTATTTTTTTTTTTACATCGATAACCGCATCGTTTAGTTGCACGCAACTGTCCTTGAAAATTTCGCGTCGTCGTATATTTTTTAATTTTAAATACTTATAAAGATGTATACTGATTCTATTAGTACAAGTATTTAGTTAACATATTTAGTTATTATATAAAATAAGTAATAACTATGTGTGTTTAGAACAATTTAGATTCATAGAAGAAGAAAAAAAAATATAACAAAATTAAACGAAGGATGATATTTATAAATATTCGAATTATTTACAAAAAAAAAAGAAAAAATATTACAAACTACTCGTATTAACGGACCATAATTAAAATCAATTCAACCTAATTATATTTAAAATTAATATTAAAATGTAAATAATTGAATTAAAATATTTAAAAAAAAAAAAAAATAAAAATAAAGAAATTAAATAAGTGCAAATTAAATAAATAGAAAAAAGATATTTAATTTTATAAATAAATAAATAAATAAATAAATAAATAAGAAAAACTAAAGAATGATGATATAGATACACAGTTAAAAATAAAAAAAGAAACTCGTCTGAGATTTGGTTAGATCGTAACACGAGTTTTGTTGGCAGTAAATCAATCAAGAATATATCCGCATCACGATCAACGGGATGATGGATCCAGAACGCACGGTACGGTACGGTACGATACGAACGGATGGACGGGACGGACGGTACGGATGGACGGGACGGACGGTACGGATGGACGGGACGGACGGTACGGATGGCGGTGCGTTCTTTTATGAGGACGCGTGTCGAATCCGTAAATGGAAATCGCGGCGGGCAACAAAGCCGTTGTTTACGTGGTTAAACGCGAGGATCGTCGGTCGAACTAAATTCCAGGATAAAAATCACGGAAGCCATGCTTTTCTCTTGGTTACATGGACTAGAACGGTTATAGTGTTGTTAATGAGTACATTCGCGTTTATAAAGTAACCGTCAAACACAAACTCTCTTTCAAATACGGACGACTTGTTTTTTAACATTGTTCCGGGTTATTCTTTATGATTTGATACTTCTCTTTTCTTCTTTTTTTTTTTTCTTTTTAATTATTTAGATTATTTTTAATTTTCTAGCATGTAATATTGTTTTTTTTTTTTTTTTTTGTATACTTTTCTCATCGGTTACATATGGGGTCTTATTTTTATAATATTATGTTTAATTATATTCAATTTTTACTTGATTTCAATTAAATTTGAATTAAGATGAATTAATTTAATGAAATTATGAATTCATCAAGTTAATAGAAACATAAATTAATATATTTTTTGTTAGGTTCATTGAAGAATATTCTAACCTTAAAAATTGTCACACACAAAAAAACACACACACAAAAACATGGAGTAGCGTCGTATTTAAATAAAACGTTTTCAAATATTACATTCAAATAAATAATTATTATAATAGAAAATAAATTAATGTAATTAAATCACATACTGATAATTAATTTAATAAAAACATTGTCAAAAAATTGACATAAATTAATATATAATCTTGCAATTGAATGAAGTAATTCCTAACCTAAAGATATTGTCACGAAAGAACAACACAACATGGATACTTATTACATTTGAAAATGAAACAAAACGTTTTTAATATTATAATTACATTAAAAAAAAAAAAAAAAAAAAAAAAAAAAAAATGGATTC